CAGACAGAATTGGAACAATCCGAAACACAGGGTGGGGATCCGTTTCTAATCCCCTTGCCCATCCATATAATGATAGAAGATTTAGCTAAAGCAACCTATTAGAATAGACAATAGCCACATATTTCCGGTGGCTGGTTTTCTGAACGCTCAATCCTGGTTTAACTTCCAAAATCCAGTACAGAGCAAATTAAGAGTCTTCACTCACCCTCTTTCTTCTAGTAGATTTTAAAAATAATTATTCTAATTAATTCACCAAGTAAATGCGACTAAGACTCTTACTCTGCTAAGACATCACTGAATTACCGGAAGCCCTAGTTGCTCACACAGGCTTGCTGTAAGCACCTCAGACTCGCATGTAAGAAACCAGATGATTCAACTGTACCTGAATAAATCCCCAAGTACCAGTTCAGATCAAGCTTCTCAGTTTCGTTTCCTTTTCCATTTACAGTGATGTTCAGGGCTCCTTGTTGATTCGCCCTACAGAACAGGAAAAGAAAATATGCTATAGATGGGAACCGAGATAAATACTTCTTAAAAATTTTAACCTCAATTTGGAAGACGTGTTTTATCCTGGAAAATGGTTCTCAGCTCACAGGGCTCTGTCCCTCTACCTTATAAAAATGCAAACTGATCATGACTTTCGGATCCCCAAATCATCTGTAAAGATGCTACAAAGGGTCAGACATGAGGAGGAGAGACCAGGGGAGGGTCACACTCCACGAGCAGAACTTGAATTTTTCTTCAGGAAAACTACGTGAGGATCAGAAGAGGAAGCTGAACAAGCCCCGCGTCTCCCCTAACTGCGAGGGAAAGTGATGCTTTCTGTAGGTTTCACACCACTTTGGGTCCAGGAATCACTCACCAGTATGAGAGCCACCAATCCTGAAGGACATAGGAAGCCTAGAACAGGGAAACAACAATCAATCGCTGACTGACATCCCCGACCCCCTCAAACTCCCACTCAAGAGCCTGGGGGATGCGAAGGCCCCTCCAGAAAACAGAGGCAGTCCCTCCGGCTCAGGTCTGCACCAAGCCCCACGTCCCAAATAAATGCAGGGAAGGGGAGTGCATATGACACTTTAAAATCTTTTTTAAAAGACATCCTTTTTTCCCTCGAAAATCTGTCCTGCTCATGAGACACCTGTACACTTCACTTCTTTTGCTCCCCACAGATCACGTGTTTCAGTGCAACTCAGGTGGGCTGCAAAATGCAATAGTAATATTATAAACATTGGGGTTTTTTCCCAAAGGAAAAAAAGCTTGAGGGGTACTATGATGGTCGGCTTTATGCGTCAGCTTGGCCAGGCCAGTCTCTAGATATTGAACCAAAAACCAAAATATTGCTGTGAACGTATTCTGTACATATGGTTCATGTCTGTTATCAGACTTAAGCACAGATTAGCCACAGTAATGTGGTGGGCCTCGCCCAGTCAGGCGAAGGCCCTAACAGCAAAATCTGAGGCTTCCGGGAGAAGGAAGAAATCTGGCCTCAGAACTACACTGTCAGCCCCTGCCTGAGATTCCAGACTACAGGACTGCCTTTTAGATTTCAAATTCACTCAGCGGGATCCTTCAATCTCATGAGCCAATTCTTTGAAATGTATCTCTTAATATTAAAAATAACAACAAAATTAAAACAGCATAAATAGTGCTATAAATGTCAACCTTAGCACACAAATCAAAAAACAAATGTCCTATTTACCTGTGCTGCAATGTTTAGAAGAATAAGGAAAATGATGATAAACCAGTGTGCCCCAGCTGTGAAGTAATTCTTATAGGCCTTAAAACCAACTTTTCCTTCCGAACGGCTCTCCTCTGGCAGTGTAACTTGTATATCCTCAGTCTAGGAAGGAAATTGCAGTGAGACCAAATATTAAACAATGAACCCCCGAATTTCAAAACTACAACAATGCCCTCTATTGCAAAGCTGTGGGAGAACAGACACATCTCATACACTGACAGGAGTGCAAAATGGTCCATCTCTGATAGAGACGGTGTGGAAATACCCAGCCACATCATATATGCATGTGCCCCTGGACCCAACAATTCTACTTTTAGGAATCTATCAGAAATAAGGAAACATTATTGCTGCGAGGTTATTCATCATTGCATGACTTTGCTTAAAACAGAACAATGTGATTTGCAGAACACATACAACATACCTGATATAAATTCTATATTAAGGCAGGAGCTTGTTCCAAAATAATATACAAAATGGAGCTAATATACCCCTGTAGATTATTTCTGTCACTCAGTGGTGGAAACTATTTAATACACAATAAGGGCTCAAAATATTAGTAGTGTATAGTAAACTGAGTTCAAACAGCAATTTCAGCTGTTTGAATAAAGAGTGTTTGGATGCCAAGGGAGAGCATAGGATCTGAATGTATTTGGCTCCTGAATTTCAGAGAGTGATTCTTGAGTTGGAATGTGAGGGACTAAATCTGAATACGTATCAAGAGTCACTCAGGCTCCTGGGTTTGGACAGTGAGGGTTTGGATAGCGAGGAATACCTGTGCATGTTCTTAGGGGCGACCGAGTGCATTTCTGCAATTCTGTCTGGAGGGCTTAGAATACATTATAGTCACATGAGCCAAAGATGTCCTGGGCTCTGTGCTGCCACTGGGGATTCAAGGTAGGTAAGATGGGGCTCTCAGACTAGAAGGGTAAGAACGGAAGCCCAGAACGAGCACCAAAGTGCCTGCTGTGTGTCAGAGGCTTTGCCATGCTACCTCTGGCCAATCACAAACCACATGACAACGAGGCAAAATCATACCCACCAGTCGCCCGCAGTGCCAGAACATTCCAACATACAGGAAAAATAGCTGACTGAATGAGGGCCACAGCTGGACTCAGTACGATGGGGTCTTCAAATTAAACCTCAGTTGGAGCCACAAACAGCCAGGAATTTATAAGGGTACACCGGCCACTGACCTCCTTGAGACCCTCCACCCCACACCCAGAGGAGAACCCTAGTCAGGCTGGCTCCCTTCACGCTCTTTCAATTCAACCAATTCCATCGAATAAGGAGGCCAAGTAATCCTAGAGTCTACTCTGGGACAAGCGAAGATGTCACGAGCGGAGCCGACCGAGGGTCCACGAGGCCATGAAGGGTGGGCAGGCCAGGGCACGCTGCAGGGGGAGAAACTCACATCCGGGCCCTCCGGAGCGCCATCTTTCAACGAGGGCCTGGAAGACTGCTGAGACCAAATCGAAGCCTCGGAAAACGTCCGATTCCTCAGAGTGGGAGTTCCGGGGGCTGTGGAGGCTTCAGCCTCTTCATTCTCCTTCTTCAAAATAGACCCGAAATCTACCCCGGATTTCAAGAACTCAGTGTAAGTTCCCTTTTGCACCATTTCGCCCTAAAATAAAAATAAAGAACTTGATAGGCGTGTATTTGCATTTGATAATATTAATCTAAATTAAATACTAACCAAGAGTAGGTATCTGGTCTTAAATTATGATTTTCATTAAAAAAAAAAGTGATCCCCAGGTCTGGAATTCTAGTTGACAAATGTAGTTTGGTTCTACCTGACAAAGAACTGAGCATTCTGTTCTCTATCAAACCCTGCGGTGGGGCTGGGGGATATGAAAGAAATGTGGAACCCTGTGTTTAAAAGTGGGGGCCACTGACATAACTATCACAGGCATTTAGGGGAGCAAAAGGTACAGAGCTTGGTGGAAGGATCAGCAGTTTTAGACAACATGGAAACTGAGATAAGCCTCATGTGACAAGCAAAACTTTAAAAACAGTCAGTTGGGGAGGATATTCCAGGATACAAAGTTAAACTTGACACGGAAGTGGGAACAAGGTCACCTGCATAGGTAACAGTCACTCAACAAATATTCAATGAACACCGTCACAGTATCACGCCCCCTGCAGGGACAGCACTAGCCCCGGCCAAGAGCGGAGTCTTGATGGTCTTCACAACTTCCCCACAAACTCAGGAAACTCCCAACCGAAAATTCAAAATTCCACCTGCTAAAGTAACTAAACAAGGAAGCCATGAGACGGGGGTGGCTCTCAAGTCCTGGCAGCCCACGCCAGCAAATCAGGAACTAAGCAGGAACCAGTGCCCTCAAATCCAAGAAAATGTGAAGAACAACGAATGACAAACACTCAACCAGGCTGCCCCCAAAGCAGCAAACCGCTTACGCTACAGCCAATCTAACCACGTTCTCCTAACACGTGTGACACGTCGCTACACAGCTTCCTCTCCTTAGAAAGTTGTACACAACAACGTGTGGATGTTTTCATGACCTTCTCATCCTACAAACAAGACTCAGCGGATAAACTCAGTGTCCAACAAAACATTAGGGAAAAAATCCCAGGATACAAAACTCTGCTGGTACTAAAACAGGGGGTGATGTCCTCAAAAGAATAAGGGGCCCCCGACACACCTAGGGACTGGCTACACAGCTCACTCTCCCGCCTAGTGACGGTGAGCACTGCCGACGCTGGGGTTCACCACACTAGTATCACCCTCTGCACGGGAAATTCATTCTTCTCGATTCTGAAGAACCTGAGATCTCCAACCCCGAATGAGTGAAGGATCTGCATTTTTAATAACTTTCCTTAGAGC